ATGAACTCGAATTCCGCATCATTAATGAATTATTACACTAGAGGGTGATATATTAATATAAACTACTAGGTAAGGATAATTTTTCTGGTTAGTGTTATAATTCTTACCTATCCTTGCCTCATATCAGCAACAATCTTCTGTGGGAGAGAACAAACCAGATTCCATCCAGTGGAGGAAGAAATCAGGAAGGAAGCGCTGGGAGTGGATAGGACTGTAACAAGCCCATTCTACTAATGTATTCTTTGTGTGCTATCTGTAATTTAGACATTTAATCCACTATGGAAATTTATGTGTGAGTCTGATTGAGCGCATGTGTCTGTATATCGATCTTTAATCTATTCTCTCATTGGTTGTAAGCAAAGATAATCAATAATTTATCCACGATCAATTAACACTCATAAATATATATGGATTGCTAAACACTCATGGACAGACACACACACAGTTGTTTTCCCCGTGTGCTTGCTATCTGTACAATAGCGGTATTTTTTTACCAAACTTCAATAATAAACTATCTCTATAATTGATATTCAGGCTGTTGAATAATCTCGAATAAACCCATAATTCTATTAAGAGATTTAGCCTGCATTAAATAGTCGGTTAACGGGATATATAATTTATTTATTGGAGTCAAATATAGAGGAACTAATCCTCTACAGCACCCAAGGCAGGCCCTCACCTCGAATCCTCAAGGTCAAAGGAGAAGAGGATGAAGACCAAAGAATACATTACGACAAGAAATGGGGACGGATATGAGAAGAATGAACGAAAGTCGGAAAGAAGTAGAAATGAAGGCCGAGGACAGAGTGGGTTGGAGTATGCTTGTCGGCGGCCTATGCTACATTGGGAGTACCAGGCGTAAGTAAGTAAGTAATAGTTTAATTATTATTTTGAACACAAACAATAAAATAATAATATCTATTATATCACGTAATTGAGTTCAAGAGTCCATTGAAGCCAGACCACCATGGAAAACCTGGAAGCACTGGATGGCCAACTCGTCCTATTATGGGACTCCTCAGCAGTGCGCATCCACGATCCCGCACTCTCGAGATTAGAACCCAGGACCTACCAGTCTCGAGCCAGAGCCCTTAACCGATAGACCACTGGGCTGGCCGGCATTCAACGGTGTTAATGTCTAACTTCAAATGATCCACGAATTATGAGCAACCGTTCACCAATTGTCTTCAGTGAGTTGATATCTCAACAGACGTGGTTGAACTCCACTGGTCACTGCTTCTCACTTGAACTCCAGGAAATGTATACTGAAGTCAGTCACTAGTGAGCATATGATCTCCACAAAACTCCTTCTGATAATAGTATATATTTTCAATCGTGTTTATTGATAACCTTTTAGACTTCCTCTAATAATGTCCCTCCAAAATCTTTAAACACAGGCTTGTTGAGGCAATTAGAACTTCGTCCTTTGTGGTCCAGATTTCGCAGTTATTAGCAAAATCAATGCTATTTACAGAGATTCTGCACGACGATTGACGTTATTTTTTTTTATATCCATAGTTGTAATAAAAAAACAGGCAATTACTTTGCTTAACTTTGCTTACCCTGAATCTTCAAAAAAACTAAGAGTAACACGAGATACAGAGTAATCAATTTCTATTCTTCCAGCCATTATTTCGACCTGAAATTAAAGATGATAATACATGACATAAACGATGAAACAACTAACACTTATGGTTATGTATGATAATTAAAAGTATTTGAATTGTAGTATAAACTAGTAATCCCAGGAATAACGCAATTTAATCAAGAAGTATCAGATGAGCCCGAACGAATGTATTGTATTTGGAATTCAAAATTACAACAGTCATCAATACTAAGAAGTCATTGATTTATTTAAACATCACATCCGCCACAGCTCGAATTGGAGTGTAAGTGTCTGTAATCGATTGTTCGTCCTCTTCTTAAGTTCATCTTTCATCTGTCCGACGGTGTATTGGATGTAGACTCTGTATTATCTAGAATGCACTCATTAGTATTAGAATTAACAACCGAAATTGGAACAGACTCACCTGGATTCTGGTATTGTATTTGATCAACGTGTCGGTTATGTATGGTCAAGTCATTGATATCCAGAATTCGCACCATAGATTTTCCAACATTCTTCACCACGATCCCCGTGGCTGGTCGAAGATCATTACCACGATAATACGTAACTTCTGCAGACTCCAAACACCTCATATTCGAACGGAGAATTCTTCCTTTTAATAGCTTTGATGGAGTCTCTTTCGTCACAGAATGCTTAGCATTTCTATATTGAAGTAGAAATGTATCTACTCCCCTCTCCAGTTCATTGAATGTCGAAGCAGCAATAGAATCAATAGCAATTTTCAATGTTCTTGCGAAATTTTCTGCCTGACCATTGTAACAAGGGTGCCTGGGAGCCGTAAACAGATGTCTGCACCCTATACCATTTAACCAATTAGTGACTGCATCTGCAGCAAAATGAGAGCCATTATCAGTCACCAACACCATGGGAACTCCTTCTCGACTAAACACCTTCCTTAATGCTTGAATTGTGAAGTCAGAATTCGGTGAAGTTGTGAAAAAAACTTCAGGCCACTTAGAAAAAGAATCAATAATTACAAGTGCATAGTATTTGCCAAGAAATGGACCACAGTAGTCTGCATGAATTCTCTGCCAGGCCTCAGACGATACTGGCCATGGAGTCCACTTCGAAGGCAGACTTTTTAGCTTATGACATTTCTCACAATTGTTTGCTGTACGACATATATCTGCATTTATCTCTGGCCACCAACATGTGAGTCTTGCTAAGGACTTCATTTTCTCAACACCAAGATGTCCACTATGAAGATCATCAAGGACAGGTTTGCGTAATGAAGGAGGAATAACAACACGATCATTTAAACACAAAATACCGTCAGGAGTAGTAGATAACTCGTCCCGCTTTGAATAATAGACAGGAAATCTACGTTTCAGATTAGCATTCCAACCCTTCCGTATAGCACTGAGTATACATCCAAAGTATCTACGAGTTTCTCTAATGAGATCTGGACGTCTCACCGGTAAAGGTTGCACTAACAAGCAGTCTGAAGTATTAACAGGTCTATCTTGTAATGGTTGTCGAGAAATGTAATCAACGTGTTGAATTTGTTTTGCACTCCTGTGCTGAATCGTATAGTCATAAGCACTCAAAGCAATACTCCATCGTTGAACCATAGCAGCTGAGGAACGTGCTAAGGATTTGTCAGGATGATAAATGAACTTTAAGGCTTCATGATCAGTAACAATGGTAAACTTCTTTCCAAATAAATATTTATGAAGTCTTTTAACAGCCCAAAACACAGCTAACGCTTCTCTCTGCGTTTGTGAATAACCTTGTTCAGAAACAGAAAGTTTGCGTGAAACACATATAACTGGCACACCTTCCTGTTCCAAAACTGCACCAATAACCACAGGTGATGCATCAGTAATAAAAACAGAATGTACACTGGGTGAGTAAGTTCGAAGGACAGCATCACTTTGAAGAAACTTTAGCAGACTTCGTAGGCATGACTCTTGTTCTTCACCCCATTTGAATGAATTGGATGTCAAAATATTAAATAAACAATTGGCACGACAAGAAAAATTAGGAATAAAACGAGAATAGTACTGAAGAGCACCCACTAGTGAACGTAATTCTGTGATGTTTTTTGGAGACGGTGCATTTGTCAGTGGAGCTAGTCGTTTCATATCTGGTCTAAAACCATTACCATCAACTAGGTATCCAAGGCATTCAAAACTGGATACACTAAATGAACACTTATTTGGATTCACTGTAATATTCTTCTCAATTAAATGACGCAATAAAGCAATAAGTCTCTGGTCATGGACTACTTTATCAGCACCATGAACAATGAGATCATCTTGATAAACTTCAACACCTTCAATATCGCTGACTATCTTATTCATGACCTCTTGGAATATGGCTGGAGAACAACTAAGACCAAATGGAAGGAAGCTGTATTTGAACAGACCAAAAGGAGTGTTAATTGTTGTCAAGATAGATGAAGATTGATCTAAAGGAATTTGAAGATAAGCGTCTTTCAAGTCAACTTTCGAGAACACTTTAGAACCATGAAGCCGATTTAGAATATCTTCAGCCTCCATCGTCGTGCATGTTTGCTTCAACAAACGGGAGTTCAGTGTCAATCTGTAATCACCGCATATTCTAGGGGTCTTGCCATCCGATTTCAATGGCGTAACAATAGGAGTACCCCATGCTGAGGACTGAACTGGTTCAATTATACCTTTCGTACACAAATCATTCAGTGACTTATGTACTGCTTCTCGAAGACCATAAAGAATTATTCGTCTTTTAAGAAAGACCGGATCACCCTGTACTTGAAGTTTAATGGGCTGAATTTTCATACCTCCACTACACTTAGCACACACAGCTATCAAATCCTTGAGTAAAGCATCAGAATTCTCTGTAGAAACTAGTAGAGACAATTCCACTTTAAGCCTTTTCAGATTTTTTAAACCCAGTATGGACAGTCCTGTTTCACTAACTAAAAATTCACAAGGTACGTATGAAGAATTATCATCTCTTATTAGCAATTTACAACATCCTCGTATAGGTAGTCTGTGTCCAGTAATCCCCAGTATTGAGACCTCAGTGGGTTTTACCACAACATTAGGATCTAAAGATTTCAAGTTCTTGAATGAAATAATGGACTCTATACTACCTGTGTCCACAATAAAGTCATGAAATGAACCAAGGGATGTATATAATCGCTTTTGAATATGAACATTCCCTTTTGAAGTGGTGGATAAAGATAAATGATCATCAAGAACAGCCGAATTATTGGGATCTAAGTTACCAGACTTAGTAATACTTGAAGCAAAGTGAACAGTAGTTTTGCACACTGACTGAATGTGTCCTATCTTGCCACATTTAAAACATTTAGCATTACGAAATGCACATGAATTACGAAAATGAAATTTGCCACAAGATAAGCATTTACCAAACTTATTCTCACCTTTGTTGTTTGCTTTGCAGTTCCTTGTTAAACCACCTTTCATATTTCCACGGGAATAGCAATCACGATTAAACGAACGCAAATTTGATCGACCCTGAGATTGTAATTCATCATGACGACTAAGCAAAGTATTAGAAATTTTCATCGATTGAATATCAAGTACATTCACTGCTTCGTAGTTAATACATGCAGTTCTAGCATCTTGAAAAGAACAGTTCGGCATTCTTAACAGCTCCTTCTCCAGACCTGGTATGTTAATTCCAGCAATTAACCGATCTCTCAACTGTACATGAAGCTGATCACCAAAATTGCATTTCGAAGCTTGTCTTTGCAATTCAAGGATGAAGTCTTTAACCTTCTGGTTATCCTGACGAATCATCTTATGGAATTTTGCTCTCTCACGACACTCAAAACTGGTGCACTTCACATGGTTTAATAGTAATTCCTTGAGAGTTGTATATGGGAGTGAAATCGGCTTAATAAACTGTAGGCTTCTTGACCGATGAATGTAAGAAAATGTGCCACAATTTTGTCACCCTTCATATCTTTCTTGGTCATGCTCCATATCTCAAACCTTTCAAGGTAATCCTCACAAGCTTCAGAAGTTGAATGAATGTCCAACTGTTGTATCGCAGGCTCCATCGCGACGCCAATATGATAATTAGAAGTATTTGAATTGTAGTATAAACTAGTAATCCCAGGAATAACGCAATTTAATCAAGAAGTATCAGATGAGCCCGAACGAATGTATTGTATTTGGAATTCAAAATTACAACAGTCATCAATACTAAGAAGTCATTGATTTATTTAAACATCACATTATGCCAGAATATGATTTTTCATGCTATCTTTAAGCAACAATATTTAAGTTCTGACCTTTACTAAATTGTCATCAACAAAGAGTATTTCTTTATGAAATAGATATCCAAGTCTTAATTTAAGTATGTGGCCTACTACTACTACTAATAATAAATCACTGTAGATGAATAAGATCTGATTACCGTATTGAAATATGTTCCCTTATTCACATGAGTAATTAATGATGACTTTAAACCACTACTTAAAGCCCCCAAATGCCCTGGTACGGCTGAGAGTGAGGAGAGTACGCTCTCACTCTCGAAATGCACTAACATGGCCACGCGTATATACCACCTACCAGGAAAGTCCTACTCACTGCATTCTCGTGCCACAGGTGTTGTTCACGAAAGTGAGAGGATGTAAACCGAATGTCCGACGCTTTAATCGGGTTGGTGGACACCGAAAGTTCATCTAGGAGAGTTGAAAAACCCTGATTCCAAACCAATGGTACACATGAGCTCCAGGATCCTGAAGGAGCAAATGGTGTTTGAATCAATCGTTGGTCACCGTCTACCATGGGACTGCATCTCCTTACCATGCTCCACTGCCTTGTGGATCAGACCTTTAGGTCAAAGGCTCCGGGTGTGGTCCCCTGAGAATACCACCTGCTTTAGTTCGGGCACCTGGACAGTATCACAGCCCTCTCACAAGTGCGGCGCATATGTATCTGGTACCCTTTGTACCGACATGTATGTGATTAAATAAATAAATACATTTATTGACCGCCTTATCAAAATGAACAAATTGTTTTGATCATTAGGCGAAACTTATTCATAACTATCTGGTTAAACGAGGGAAGATGTTCAGAGAGAGAAAATTTTAAAATGATGTTGTAAACTTTTGTCATCTTTGTTGGCATACTATCGCTCCTTTTATATGACTACATTGCATGTCACTTCAAGGTTTTATATCATATATTTAATTTAGTGTAATCTTTTAGTTTGTATCATTTTAGTACGAAATGATATTTTGTGTTACTTACTTAATTACTTGCGCCTCTTACCCCTCGTAGAGGATCATAGACCGCACACCAGCACTCTTCATCAAACCCTGTCCTCAACAATCCTTTACACTTCTTTACAGTTAAAATTCATCCTTTTCATATCTGCTTCTATTTCCCAAAGTAATGTGTTCTTTGGTGTTCCACTTTAACGCCCCCCTCCGGATTCCAAGTTAGCGATTGCCTCGTGATGCGATTTGTTGATTTTCACAATCTATGTTCGACACACTTTCAACGTCATTTCCTAATTTCCTCTTCAGCTGAAAGCTGGTTTGTCCTCTCCCTTAAAACGCTCTTGCTGATTGTATTTTGCGAAGACAACTGTATATATATATATATATATATATATATATATATATATATATATATATATATGTATACTTGTACCTTCTTGACGATGGATGTAGTAGTTCTCCACGTTTCAACTCTGTACAGTCGGACTGTCTTGACGTTCGTATTGAAGATACTCACTTTTGAGTTAGTTGACAGTTGTTTTGAGTTCCATATGTTCTTCAACTGTGGGAATGCGGTCCTTTCTTTGCCAATCCTCGCCTTTACATCTGCATCAGATCCTCCTAGCTCATCAATGATGCTTGTCAGGTACGTGAATGTTTCCACCTTTTTTAAAATTCCTCCTTCATGTTTGATTAGTTGGGTTGGTGTTCTCCGTGTTGTATTCGAGGATGTTGTGTTTTCCTTTGTGCATGTTGAGGCCTATTGATGCAGAGGCTGCTGCTACATTTGTCTTCGTCTGTATTTGTTCGTGTTTATGGGATAAGATGTATAGGTCATCTGCGAAGTCCAAGTCTTCTAATTGATTCCGAGATGTCCATTGTATTCCGTGCTTCCTGTCAGATGTCGAGGTCTTCATAATCCAGTCGATCACCAGAAGAATGAAGAAGTGGGAGAGTAGACAGCCATGTCTGACTCCGGTCCTTACTGGAAATGCACATGTGAGCTGTTCTCAATGTACCACTTTGCACTGCAGTCCGTTGTATGAGTTCTGGATAATGTTAACAATCTTCTCAAGTGCCCGCTGAATAGTGTCGAAAAAGTTTCCATAATGTGCTCCCATCCACACTGTCATACGCCTTCTTGTAGTCAATGAAGTTGATGTATAGGGACGGATTCCACTCAACTAATTGCTTCGCGATGATCCTAGTGTCGCAATTCGGTCTGTGCAAGACCGATCCCTACAAAATTCAGCCTGATGATCTCGAAGTCGAGCGTCTACTAAGTCTTTCATCAGGTTCAGATGTTTTGTGTTAGTTGGATGTTATATTTCATCATATGAATTCAGTTCAATATATCATTTTACTATGTATTAAATTCAATGATATTTTTTCAAACATCAGCAATATGTATAAATTTGTATATAAATGAGTTTACTGTTAGAATGAATGAAAGATTTTAGTTTTAAATGGAAGAAAATATTACACTGACTGTTATACCATAGTTCTAATATCAAATTATGGTCAAGTTGCATCATATCTGAATCTATAGTCACTTTATTTTTTGTAGTCCTTGGTTTGAGCTATCACAGTTTTCAACTTTAATGGTTACTTCATTTTTTTCACTGATTATTTAAATCATTCTATTGATGATTAGGACTGCGATAGATTAGCGTCTTATTGGCATATATGTATCGTGTGCAAACTGCCTCGATAATGCCTTGAGTCATCAACATTTTAGGCAAAGATGAATGATGGCTGACAGCTAGATGCAAGACGCACGTTTCGTTCTATTTCGGACTCGTTAGCAGGAGTAAACATCAAATCTTGGATGTAAATACATCCAAACGACGCCTCAGAAGCAGGGTGAAAGGCGCGTCCTTGATTTTACTGCTAACCACCATCTATCTTTACTTTTAATGATTACGTTATAAATAACTATCACTTTTAACAAAATTCTTATATCATGGTAACAGTTTAATGTGTTCACCGTAGTAGCCGCTTGATTCATCTGTAATTTTAATTCAGAGCAACTGTGTCATAATGGTAGAAAGAACGAATTTCAGAGATGGCAAAATACATTATTTTGACAGTTCATTTCAGAAAAATCGTTAAATGATTTTTATTTATCACACAATTTAAGTATGCATAGAATTCATATTAAAACTTGAATAAGCTTACTGAATATGTTCTTCCCTTCCAATGCGATCCGATTGCTCCAGTTTGATGTTGATTTTCCAAATCTGCTCCATCTAACCCAGGGCAACGGAAATGTTTTTTTGCAGCTGCCTAAATATTGTACATATATGCATCTTGATTCTTTTTAGTTAAAGGAAGAAAAAGCTAAAATACATTTTTTGATTGAGACCATTAATCGATTGTTGTTAAACCACCACTGAAAACCTGGAAGACCTGGACAACTGTTTCGTCCCATTGTTGAACTCAGCGGTGCTCATCCACGATCTTCGGTCTCGTGCTCGAACGCTTAAACTCTAGACCATAGATCTCATCAAAAAAACAACTTAATAATCTCCACAACCTCATACTGATAGTAAATTTTTGTTCCATTTTTAAATAATTCAATACAGTAGAGTAAATCTTTGGCTTCATACACTAAAATTTTATAACCAAAATAACGATAAATTCTTTACCCTAAAAGACTTAAACACTTTCACTAATAACTTATGAAGTTTGTAATTCACAGCATCAAAAATAAAAATCAAAGAATTAAAGGGGATACATTTCTTTTGTATGGTCCAAAAAGTTGTCAAGGTTAAAAAGAGACTCAAATGTCCTAAAATCATAATGCATAAGGTAGAGGAACTCATCCATTTGGCTCCATAATAGTCGGTCTCTGGAGCCATGATAAGGTCACAAAAACCCTCAGCCTCGACCACATAGCTTCATTATTGCTTGTGTGTACTCCGGTTGTGCAAGTTTGGGATTTTTATCATGGATATGTCCCTACAATACTTGTACCATTGAACAGCCGTAGCGTCAGTAACATTTGCGATTATTGCAGCCGATGCTACTGGTGCCTTTATTATACAGTTAGCGGCAATTATTATGATATGACTTAGTCTCAATCTGGATCGTGCGATAAAGGTTTCTATTCTATCAAACGTCTTCCTTCGGAATATATTACATCGAAGGACAACATCACGGTAGTCTTCACAATGTCTACAAGTCACTTAATTACCGCAATTACAAATACAGGAACTTTCAAGTAGTCTCAATTTTTGTAGCCGCTTAATTGTCAGGTCTTCTCTAAAATCCTCTATGAACCGATTGTACATGAGCACCGGGTACTGAAATTGGCGCCGTGACCTTGAAATCCCTCAAACGCCTCTGATTGGCTTGTTCATAAATTATATATGCATTTGAAATCATCCCGCATTTGTTTATTTGAACCAGGTTATCTATTTTAATACTTTAGAATTATTATTTATACTACTATCAAACAAATATTCTTAACACAACTAAAAAAATGTTATTTGATACCTTGCGAAGTTCACTATGAAAGCGCCAACATCTGGAGGAAAGCACGGGATACAATGGACAGCTGGGATGCAGCTGGACGATTTAGACTTCTCAGATGATCTGGCTCTTCTATCACACACGCAACAGCAGATGCAGGAGAAGACGACCAGTGTAGCAGCATTATGTCTCAATGCAAACAAAGAGAAAAGCAAGACTCTCCGCTACAATACAACATGAATCAATTGAATTACACTTGATGGAGAAGCTTTGGAGGATGTGCAAACCAACGGAAATCTGGGCAGCATCATCGATGAACACGGTAGATCTGATGCGGATGTGAGGGCGAGTTTCAGCAAAGCAACAGAAGCACATTTGCAACTGAAGAACATCTGAACTCCAAAACAAATACCAATCAAGATCAGAATTTTCAATACAAATGTCAAGGCAGTTCTTCTGTATGGGGCTGAAACCTAAAGAACTGCGAAAGCGATCATCGAGAAGATAGAGTTGTTTATTAACAGTTGTCTACGCAAAATACGTCGGATCCGTTGGTCAGACACTACCAGCATCATTCTACTTTGGGAGAGAACAAACAAGATTCCAGTGGAGAGAGAAATGAGAAAGGAGCGCTGGAAGTGGATAGGACCCAGATTTGGGAAGTCACCCAACTTCGTCACAAGGCAAGCCCTCACTTGAAGTCCTCAAGGCCAAAGGAGAAGAGGAAGACCGAATAACACACTACTCTGAGAAATAGAGACAGACATGAGAAGAATGAAGAAGAATTGTATAGAAGTAGAAAGGAAGGCCCATGACAGAGTGGGTTGGAGAATGCTGGTGGGCGGACTTTGCTCCATTGGAAGTAACAGGCGTAAGTAAGTAAGTAAAGGAGTTCACTAACTTATGTTTATATGGTGTACCAATGAATATCAAGAAACATAAAACACTTATTTCTTTTTAACTTGTGGTTTCTCTAAACAAAATTTAGTGGACAACTGGATGAACCGAAATATTATTTAATGTTATGGAGAAATATGTGAACACTTTCCTTACTATAAAATGTTATGAATTGTATAAAAGAATCAACTAACCAGGATTGTAGGAGTAACGAAACTGTAAAAGTCTTTTCTAAACCATCCGGCAGCACTTTTCCATGGTCTTGTAATCTTCCGGATAGTGTCGTTACTGTGAAAAAGATGTTTGAATGATCAAAATCATTTACTATAAGCACATAAATTTTTAAAAAAATAAGCCTGATGATGATGATGGTGCACACAACAGTAGTTTCCGAGAATTATTATTCAAATAGATTTGTATGATGAACTGTACATCAAAAAATGTGACCATCATCTAAGCTAACTGTACATGACATATGGTGTGTGAATCTTACCTTTAAAGATCAGTACAGAGCTTCTACACAAGTGAATCGATCATCTACAAATAAAGAGTAACTTTGGATTTAGAATTTTGAATCTTTTGACGTCGACATACGTCAGTTATAGATCTAACTTATATGTTCACATGGTTATGACTAGCCAATGTGTTGGTGATTACTTACATAGTATTTTTGATTCATCTAAATGAAATTAGCATTACAATAACAATATGTATATTAGTTAAAAGTTTGCTCTTTTGTTGGAGTTTTGTTCTCTCAGCTGGATGGTCTGGAGCATTCATCGCCCTTCTGAACGACATCACCAGCACAAACATCGGGGAGAAGTGAAGTGTTTGAATTTCTCCATATGTGGTCCACAGCCTGTACACCTCGATGTTGATTGGTTCCTGTTGCTTCTTCGTTTTGGTTGGATCTCCCATTGGTTTGATTTTTGTTCTTATATTTCTGCATAATTTTCCTGATTGGTTGATAAATTGGATTGATTTCAATGTGCTTGTTTATCGCTGATTGATCTGAGTGCCAAGCTTCTTTGGAATTGCCTCTATCCAAAATCTCCACATTTTTCTTGTCAAATGTGTGTCCACAGTTGTCTACGTGCATTGATATCAGTGAAGACATGTCATGGCGTTTGACTGCTAATTGATGTTCATGCAGGCGAAGATGAAGAGGGCTTCGCTTTGTCCGATGTAGTGCTTTTTGCAGTTAACACAATTTATTTTGTAGATGATGTTTAGTTTGTCTTCTTTTGTCATTTCATCCTTTGGTTTGCATAAGACTGAATGGAGGGATTTCGTTGGCTTATGAAAATCACCTATTCCGGAAGTTTTCAGCAGTCTCGTTGTCGTTTTCGATATACATTTTATGTATGGTAAGGTGATCCTTTTGTTGATTTCTGTACTTGACTTGCTCTTTTGTTTCAAATTTAATAATGAATTCCAGTCACCTAATGATATTAAAAGCATTATTGATAAGACATGTTATTTATTGGAATTTGTGATAAATGACTTTTTTAAAATACTAAACATGCTTTTAGCAATGATCCAGTTCAATGACATCCAATCAAAGTTGCATAGAATTGGTTTACTAACCGTTTTAACTGATCAAATTTTATACTATTATATATGAAACAGTAATTTATTTGGTACATTTGTGGTTTAGACTACTCATACCGACATGAGTAGTATATATCGTGAGTAAGGAATAAAATATCTGGCAGCAGAAGATTGAGAAGATCGAGAAGAGAAGAACAGAAATGGAAATCCAGGAACAATGAAGCCTGAGACAATTAATGAACACTTTGCAAATAGAGTATCAGAATATGGTTTTTGTATTTTATCAAGGAACTTTGTAATTTGTGCTAATTACATAAACGGTTGTCCTCACCTAGGTTCTCATTCACTACACAATAACAAATAGTACATTTCTATAAAATCAATCTATTTCTGTATTAAAGTTATCCTAAGTTTCTATTTGTTGAATATATAGAAACATGAAATCCTCACCTTGGAAGATAATGACCATGTGGATCTTTGTAAATTGGCTTATGTGTTGCGTCCCTGGGAGTTCGAGCTGTCCCATTTGGAAAACGCATAAAAGGAAAGTTGGATGATGAAAATCCCTAAAGTATAAATTTTAATAAATATTAAATAGTAACCATAAATAACCAGAATAGTATCTATGAGCTTGCACATATCTACTCATACTTCAAACACCAACATATCACGAACATTAACATCAACTCCAGATTTTTTGCTTTTTCAGTCATCATGTAGGTATCTTGATTAAACCATTGAAATAAGTTCTAATGTTGAGAACTCGTTAATTCATTTTCTCTATACTCAACCGCAATACTTAAAGGGAATTTCATAAATTCACTTCTATTCAATATAATTTTTCAATTACTGGACAAATTATTATTCTTGCTGATGAACTTTATAACTAATTATTTGAAGGGGTTCTTTTGTGGAGATTTTAGTGATTTTATATAGTTGAGATCATGAGTCAATTGAAGCTAGACCATCACGGAAAACCTGGGAACATTGGATGGCCAACTCGTCCTATTGTGTGGCTCAGAAATGCGCACCTGAAATCCCGTCTCGTGAGATTCGAACCCACGAACTACCGGTCTCGCTCACGGGCGTTTAACCTCTAGCACCGTTTAGCCGGCATCCAACGGTGTTAATGTCTTATTTCAAGCAATCCACGAAGTAGAGCAACAGTTCATCATTGTCTTCAGTGAGTTACTATCTCACAGCAGATCTGGTTGAACTGCTTTGGCCACTGCTTCTCACTAGAACTCCAGGAAATATCTCTTGAAGCCAGTCACTAGTGAGCATATGATTATTATCAGAAGGGGTTTTTTGTGGAGACTTTAGTAATTTTATAGATGAAATCAATAATTATTTCACAAGTTTTCATAGTTGAAATCATGAGTCAATTGAAGCTAGACCACCTGGAAGCTGACGAGTCCCTTAAAAGGACGAAACGGCCGTCCAGTGCTTCCAGGTTCACCATGATGGTCTAGCTTCAATTGGCTGATGATTTCAACCATGAAAATACTGAAATCTCCACAAAATCCCTTCTAATTATATCATGTGCATTCAGCCTTTAGTGTTATTCGAATTTTATCGGTTAGTTAGCAGTGTAGCCACCACTAATCGAGATGACTCGTTATTCCATACTTTGTTCTTTGCTAGTTTAAGGTAGTCACGAGATCATAACCAAAAATTCAACATTAAGATACCTACTGTTTTCATGAAAAATACATAACATATCAGATATGTTATATCCTAGTGAAGATACAAGTACAGGTAACTTCCAGGACCTATTAATGGATGATTATTCTATATATATTCTGATTATTTAACTATTGAGTAATTAGATTTTGTATATCTAAATTCATCTTATTATAAGCTTCATTTTGACCTATGAATTATTACTGTACGATTTACTGTTCCCAAATTACACTCAGTTTATTGATTATTGTATCCCATGTTCACAGCCACATTTAGCTTGATCTGGTACAAATATTTTTTTCTATTTTATGATGTGAAGCGGTCTGTCTGTCTGTCTGGTATATAAACCGAGTATGCTTGAAATAAATGATTCGCATAACAGAAGCTGTGATCGGTGTTCTAGACTTAATTGGAAGGGCTGGGCGGACAAGGGACCAATAAGGACGCTAGACTGCTCATATCCGTTGAACGTCATTGATTTGTCAGTGTTAAGGTCGGAAAAGTCGTATTTCCATTGGTGGATTATTCACGTGATAAAAAGCCGGACATAGAATCATAACGAATTGTCAAACGTCCTTTATTCTTTATAAAGTCACAACAAGACATATTTCAATAAAATTGTTCAGTGACCTCAATAAAATGACAAGTATTCTTTGTTTTAATCAAATAATAGATGAACTTACAAGAGCATGACCTATTTCATGAAGGAAAATTCCACGAGCATTTCTATCTTCAGGATATTCAGTCTTCATTTTTCCTGGGCATACATTTACATATCCAAGAATTGGCCTATAGTATCAAGAGATATTGATAACAATAATATTCATATTGTAGTGAACACAAACAACAGCGGGTATAATCAAATGTATTTGAACACAAAATTCCAGAATATCTTAGTAAAATCTGAGAATTATACAGTAAATACTTCATTTGCAAAATATCTATCCATCTTCTCAAATGTGACTGTTCCTTTTACAAATATCAGTTAATCGTCTCAGATTTCCCTGTTCCTGCATTTTTCATGCGAATTGTTTTCCATTTCCGTTCTTATTTTCTCTATCTTCTACTGAAAAACATTCACCCCATCACACAAGCAAGTGGCTATCAGGACTCAGTGGCCGAGTGGATAATGCAATGGCGTTTGAAGCGAAAGGTACAGAGTTGGAGTTCCAGAGTGAACATCAACTCTGAGATGCAGGTACATCTATTTGACGAGTCCCAAATAGGACGAAACACGCTTTTAACTGGATTCCACTGCTAGCCACTATACATCTTTGCTTACCATACTATTTCTGATTATTATTATCGATTTTAATTTAATGAACTTTAAGCACCAATATTGCTTACAGACTTACTACTACTGACGGATTCAACTTCCATATAGGACAGTTTCATGGAAATAATTAAATGTGTTTCCTATTGCTTAGATACTTGCTTTTCTTTTAGTTGGATCAAATTTAAAGTGTAGCTACTTTTTATGTTAAAATTTGGAACAAAGTAAGTTAAGCTGTTGTATTTTATTCGTTTGTGTATTAGTTGTTTAAATCTTCTTATTGACTTTTAGGACTGTAGTTGATCAGTCTATTATTGGTATATGTGCATTGTGTGCAGATTGCTATAATGTTGAATTAAGTCATTAAATTGCAGTCTTAAACGTCCAAGGGAAGATTCGAACAACCAATACAAAGGTTAATTAAAATTCATCTTATTGCACAAGCTAGTGACTATCTGAACTCAGTAGATAAGTGGATAGCGTGATGGCTTTTAAGGGGAAAACTACTAGGTTGGAATCCCGGAATGAACATCATCTAAGTGAAACAGATACATCCAGCTGACGAGTCCCAAATGAAAAATAAATGAGCGTCCTGAATTTCACCGCTAACCACCATCCATCTCTGCAACATTTTATTACTAGAAAAGTAACTGTGAAAGCAAGATTCTCCAATACAACACATCATGCACCAATCGAATTACACTTGACGGAAAAGCTTTGGAGAATGTGAAAACCTTTACATATCTGGGCAGCATCATCGATGAACACGGTGGATCTGATGCAGATGTGAGGGCGCGGATCGACAAAGCGAGAGCAGCATATTTACGTCTGAAGAACATCTGGAACTCAAAACAATTGTCAACCAACACCAAGATCAGAATTTTCAATACAAATGTGAAGACAGTTCTAGTGTATGAGGCAGAGACGTGGAGAACTACGAAAGTAATCATCCGGAATATATAAGTGTTTATTAACAGTTGTCTACGCACAAAACTTCGGATCCGTTGGTCAGATACTATCAGCAACACTCTACCGTGGGAGAGAACAAACCAGATTTCATCTGAGGAAGAAATCAGGAAGAAGCGGTGGAAGTGGATGGGACACGTGTTGAGAAAAGCAGCCAACTGCGTCACAAGGCAAGCTCCCACATGTAATCGTGAAGGTCAAAGGAGAAGAGGAAGAACAGAGAACACATTACGCCAAGAAATAGAGACAGACATGAGAACAATGAACAATAATTGGATAGAACTAGAAAGAAAGGCCGAGGGCAGCATGGGTTGGAGAATGCTTGTCTGTGGCCCATGCTCCATTGGGAGTAACAAGCGTAAGTAAGTCTAAACATAATACATGTCTACTTTGAACTTACATGTATTTCTATATAAACAGAATAAAAAAAACAACTAGTGAATGGATAAAATTATAAAGCAACTCCTTAGCTTTCACAATATTATCGTAAAAATTTGACTTGGAAGTAGTATAGTTAAAAAACATTTGCCTATGAAGTATGCAAACGATAGCAAATGATTTCAAAAGAATGTCAAATAATGGTTATAGCAACCATCCTACAATCAATTTCGATTATGGTCAATTTCCGTTAGGCCCTTTTAATAACTTACTTAACAGATATTGTCATTTGGATAGCAACCATTCGCTTGTATCTTTGTTCTGCCATGATCACTAGAGCAACATGTCAGACTCTAGCCAAAATGTAGATTGCTTAAATATCATTCGATGATTCATCCTTCTCCCCATATATGCATGCACTCAAATCCTATTATTGGCTTTTGTTTTGTTTTACTCTGCCCTTATTCAATTTGACTATAAATTGCCTATCTAATTGCTTGCTGCTCGCTTGTTGATATTCGCTCAGATGTTGGTAGCTTTCTGTCCTAAGTTATTTGACATGAAACTGTAGTTGCTGCTTCTCTTTGCCTTCTGTTTTTACGCACTGTTATGATTGGCATTATAACGGTTATCATGGTGAACGATTAACGAAGTACGGCACTATATGCTATCGGATTATGAATTGCTATTCAATTAAGATGAATATACTCTAATAAGCTTATCTAATTACCTATCTGTTTCTTCATCCATTAAACATGATGATGCATGTGCTGCTGTACTACCAGAACAAGATTTTGTATTTATGGCATCAACTAGTAGAACATAACCAGCAGATGGTATTCCACTTCCATTGTTGTAATATCTATATAATCTGTGATTGTGTTCTTGATAACATTCCTGAAATATAACCATAATAGAATTATTAAATCGTAATATTTTGAATACAAACAATAAAATAATAATACTTATTATATCATATAGTTGAGATCACCAGTCAATTGAAGCTAGACCACCATGGGAAACCTGGAAGCATTGGACGGTCGACTCGTCCTATTATGGGACTCTTCAGCAGTGCGCATCCATGATCCCGCCCCACGAGATTCGAACCCAGAACCTACCAGTCTCGCGCCAGAGCACTTAAACGATAGACCACTGAGCTGGCCGGCATCCAACGGTGTTAATGTCTAACTTCAACCAATCCACAAAATTGAGCGACCATTCACCAATGTCTTTAGTGAGCTGAAATCTCCCAAAAGATCTGGTAGAACTCCATTGCTTGCTGCGAGGGGATTGTGGATGAGCACTGCTGAGGAGTGCCACAGTGGGACGAAACGGCTTTCCAGTGCTTCTAGGTTTTCCAGAGTGGTATAGCTTCAATTGACTCATGATTTCAACTATATAAAATTACTAAATTCTTCATAAACCCCCCTTCTGATAATTATTATATCAATTAACAACTGTAGTAAACAAAGTTTAGTAACCTAATAATAAACACTGAACTTACTAACAAGCATATTATCACTAAAACCGTACACCTAATTTTGAGGAATAGTGTTTGTAATTATGATGTATTATTATACACATATATTTTTTTTCTAGAGAGACTAGATTTCAATGTTGCTTCTATCATTATTCCGGCCTAGTGGTTTGTGCTCGAGACCGATGATCCTGGGTTCGAATCCCGTCAGCTGGATTGTGGATGTGCACTACCGAGTATTCTGTATTTTACATCTTCAATCACTTATACATTATCTCGTTGTTTCATTCTGAATATCAACTACGTTTATGACGATAGATATATTACGCCTATATTCATACTTACCCCGACATATTTATCTGGAATTTTCACACGTCCGCACATAACATCACGTTGGCAATTCGACTGACGACAGTATATAGAATTATTCCCGTGAACTTGGTAGTAGTATCCGCTTTCACAATACCTTGATGGAAGAAATAAGAATGTTGTTTTAATTAAGAATAAAAGAAATTCATCTATTAAGTTTTAATTTAGAATAGTTACCTGACAAGATACCTTGAAACATGGAGATAATTATGTCTGGAAAAAAACTCTACCAACGTACAACTCCCTTATCAGAAACGTAATATAACAAGAATGCTAATGATTACATTATTGAAAGAAAAGTAAGCTAACAGTGCATTCACCTTTTTGCTAGTTGTTTTTGACTTCCAGGTTTCTTAACTGTCAATGCTTCTTCCCAAAACTTGATTGCATGTTCTGCAAATTTCTATAAAAATGTAAAATAACCCAAATAAAGTATCACATTATTATTATGCATGAGTATATTTTCCAAAAATAAAATAAAAACTATGAAAACTATTCATTAAAGTGTTGTCATATATGTGCCCCCCAAATGCCCTGGTACGGCCGAGAATGGGGACAGTACGCTCTCCCTCTCCAAATGCTCTCACACGGCCACGCGTATATAGCATCTGACAGGAAATTCCTACTCACTGCCTTCTCTTAGCGGGGGTGTTGTTCACAAAAGTGAGAGGACGAAAAGCGAATGTCCGACGCTTTAACCGGATTGGTGGACAAGGCGCGTCCACCTAGGGGAGCTGGAAAACCCTGGTGCACATGGGCTGGCTCCAGTATCCTGAAGGAACGAATGGCGTATTAATCAATCGTTGATCACCGACTACCATGGGACTGCATCTCCTTACGATGCTCCACGGCCTTGTGGATCAGACCTCTGGGTCATAGGCTCTGGGTGTGGCCACTAAGAAAACCATCTGCTACAGTTTGAGCACCCGGGAAGTATTATAGCTCTCACACAACAAAATGTCATTTCATTTAGTTGTGTGGCACTTTGTACCAATATTTATATGTTTAAATAAATAAATATTCAGTAAAGATAATGTTGATCAGAAGGAGCTCAAAAAACTGTCACTCATAGAAACAACAAAAAAAGACACTGAACTAAGAAAAATCTTATCTTAATTACAAGGACTTTATGATAATCTGGCAATTGGTAGAAATTTGGAGTGAAATGTGTATAAAATTTCAAGCTTCTTGGAGCTGTATCCCGTCGTTCAACATTATCAGGATGTAAAGGTATTGTATGATCCTGAAATTCCAAAAAAAAAATCAATAATAATCAATTATATGTTGTCTACCAATTTCACTGATGGTGGTGAACCACAGAATGATGTAGATTGTACAATATTACATATTGTCAAAATGAAAACTGTTCTAATCAATAAATTAATAATCATATCTGTTATGTATGTTGGTAACCAACTTATGTTACATATATATATATACGGTTTTCCGATTGTTGAGGACCAATCTGATGTTTCCGGTCTATTAGTCTTTTTCATAACATCATCTCTTGTTTTCTTTTCATTATACTTTCTGACACTTTCGAAGGTAATTGAAACCATTCCAAAAGGTAGGTGTACTTCTGTCTTAAATTTAGAGATTCTAGACAACTAACTCATTTCCATTGTTGATTCTGTTGACTTGAAGAATACTTTAAATGGAGTCAACTTTGTTTAAAAACAAAATCTGCATCCATGTTTGTTTTTTATGAATTTGCTTTGTGAACACCCAAATAAATATAATAATCGGACAAATAGAGTAACTGACATTATCTTCATATTACCTTGTTAGTGGTTGTCAAGCTGAAACGGATGCATTGAAGCATTAAATAACCAAACTGACAGCATTATGAAAGTGGAATAAGAAATTCTTCTGAGTTGTCAACAAACTCACCACCAGTAGGTGTTGAGACGCAGGAAGTATTGGGATAAAGAGTAGATATCTATTGCATAAAAATAAACACTAATTTAGCGATATTAAAATTTACCAGTAAGAAAGCTGTAATAATAGATGGTTTGTTTCATAATTGTCGGGCCTATTAGTTTTATAACATCTTCAACAAGATAAAATATGTTCAACCTAGTCTGTTGTAGAGATATCAACTCACTGAAAACAATCGGTGAACGGTTGAAGTTAGACATTAACACCGTTGGATGCCAGCCTGCTCAGTGGTCTAGAGGTTAAGTGCTCCGTCACAAGACTGGTAAGTTCTGGGTTCAAATCTCACGAGTGTGGGATCGTGGATGCGCACTGCTAAAGAGTACCATAATAGGACGTGTTGACAGTCCAGTGGTTCCAGGTTTCTCATCTTGGTCTAGCTACAATTGACTAATGATTTCAACTATGGAAATAAATTATGTTTGTACATTACAAATTATTATCCAAATTACTGATTACTAACAAGCATTTTAAATTCTAAAAGTGAGATCGTAGCTAAAACTAGAGTTGGATGCATTATTACACTGACTATTACTAATCGATCAAGTGTCAAGAGAATCTTCAGGTAACGTGGTTCGTACTTTGACAACACTTAGTCTAAATGTAAAAAACTTTCATATCTATTTTCAATAAATCTAATGAATCTTGATAGTGTAAATTGACTTCAACAGTAATTCGGAACCATTTTGAGACAGTCAGTGAGAAAATTAACTTCTATGAGTGTTGAACTCGATTGACAGTCTTATTGGATCATTTCCTGATGACTATTAACCATCAATCTCAACAGCTAATCCGTGTGCCTAATACAACGATATCAGAAGACAAAACAACTAACTACCGAATAGTGATTTATTTTATTTAAAAAAGAATCACACTTAAACACAGAATATACATAACACAACGAAAACAAGAATGATTGTTTGATCTGGATAAGTCATTGACAAAAACAAATAGTTCAAGACCTTACAATCAAACTTATTGATAAGTCTTCCTAACTGAACGCTATACTCGGTTCCTAAGCTATTTTTGTGAGCCTCAAGCTAAATCTACACAGCCACTTGAACACGAGAGAAACGGCGCACAATATGCGAGGAACACTTTATTCCGAAGGTTCATTCATGTACAAAAAATAAAGGGTTTTCTATCAGTATTTTACAAGTTTTTTGTTTTTCCCAAAACTTCTGGAATACTACTAAACATAGTTACTGTTATGTTTTTGACCTAGGCGGTAGTCAATTGTTATGACTTGATCAAGGTCGTCGCTGATTCGTTATGACCTTACGAATTTAACAAGGACGTAATTCTCGTAAATGATCCACCAATAGAATACGCCTTCTACGACCTTCACACTGTGACAATGACGTTCGATTAATATGAGTAATCTAGCGTCCTTATTGGTCCTTATCCGCCTACCCGTCCACTTGAGTCCAGAAACACCAATAGCAGCTGCTGTAATGCGAATCGTTTATTTCAAACATACTTTATCTATATACCAGACAGGCAGACCACACCACACCATAAAATAGAAAATAATATTTGTACAAAACCAGGCCAAATGAGGCTGTAAGCGTGGGAGACAATAATCAATAAACTGAGCATAACTTAGGAACAGTAAATCATACAATAATAATCAATATGTCAAAATGAAGCTTACAATAAGATGAATATAGATATAGATAATCTAGTTACCCGTACTTCGCTACTACATAACAGTTACTTACTTTCCTCAATGTGTGTCTTATCCATTTCCAGCTTTTCTTTCTGATTTCTTCCTCCACTAAAATCTGGTTTGTTTTCTCTCACAGTAGAATGTTGCTGATAGTGTCTGACCAACGGAACCGAAGTATCTTACATAGACAACTGTTAATAAACACTTGTATCTTTTGGATGGTGGTGTTCGTAGTTCTCCATGTCTCCTCCCCACACAGAAGAACTGTCTTGACATTTGTACTAAAAATTTACTAAACATAGTAGCAGTATAGTAATTAGTCAGTCAGAAACTCTACATGTTACCATTCACTACCGTTATGCTTCTGGCAAAACTTCTAGTAAACACTGATCGTATGAAAAACTTCCTCATGTTTCCTGAGCCTTTCCTATCTTTTCCGAGAAGTTTTGTGGATCATCCCAATACTAATATATTGCCGCTAACACCTATTTCACTTACGGACAACATAATGTATTATTTTCTTCATATTACTTCAGCGTTTGATCAAATGTAATTGATTTTTCAAAGCATAAATTGTCTTCGAATCACCTTTGTCCCATTTAAAAAAAAGATCACAATTAATTCATCACTGGGTGGCAATCAATTTCATGCGTGTCAAGTCCATCTTAGTGCTGATCGAATGCTATCGAACAAGTTGCAATGTCGCCACTATTATAGGCGGCTCGACACTGTTAATACTAGATGATGGTTGGAGGTGGTCAACAGGAAACCCTGGACTCGGGTTTCGTGTTACTTGGCACTCATCAGCAAGGTGTACCTGTAATCTTGAGGGAACTGGTGCTCTCTAAAGGATTCGATCCCGTGTCACACAGTTTCACAGTCAGAGACGTTACCACTGAGCTTTTTGGGCCGCGACCGACCTCCTGTAGGACTGAGATGTAATCACAATTGATTGATCACTGGGTGGTGATCAATGTCATGCGTGTCAAGTCCGTCTTAGTGTAATTTGTAAACCATCATTGAATTTCATTTGAATGGTTGAGGTTAATTAATATTGAAAAAAATTAAAATCTGTATTTATTTCCACTAATTAGTTTCTTTTATGAAAAATACTCGTTTCTTTCTCATCAAAAGTTGCTAAGTTGATTTCATTCACATTTTAATTCATAAACATCAAAGGTGATTTGAAGAAGGGCTTGACTTTTTTTGAAAAAAATATTTGTTTACATATTGTTTGTAAACGGTATAGTTTCATACACACACTTTAAGCAAAGAGGTATAGTGGCTAACAGTTTGGTCCAGGAAGCGCGTTTCACCCTATTCGGGATTCGTCAGCGGGATGTTCCTGCATTCCTGAATTGAAGTTCACTCTGAGACTCGAACCCAATACCGTTCACTTCAAACGTCATCGCGATATCCACTCAGCTACCGAGTCCTGTTAGCCACTCACTTGTGTAATGCGGTGAAGTTATATTCATTTAGTATTGTTTGTTTGAATCTTCTCATTGATGTTTAGGACTGCAATTGATTAGTCTCTTATTGGGATATGTGCATACCTTGCTTATTGTCTTGACATAGTCTTAATTCACATCATCATAATTTTCTTAAAGAAAAACAACTATTGTGAACTGAAATATCACACAATAGTATCATAACGTTCAATAATACTATTGAAATCATCGAATCTTTATCCAGATACAGTGTGAGCAAATATTCTTAGTTTATATTTGGTACTGCAAGCGAAGAAGTCACTACAGTTCGTATATGACGGTCAATATACGAGTTAAGTATCATGGAATTTTGAAATATCCTCAAAAACCAAAGCAATTCTATATGAAACCCTAATTTCATTCCATTTACATAAATTGTCCTATTTCTTTTATTTGTTTTCTTCTAACTACGGTGACTATTACTTCATTGATTAAGTGAAGCTATATTAACATTAAAAACGTGAAACATTTTCAAGCTACTTATATTTTATTAAGTAGTGTGACTTTTTTAGGATATTTCGAAAAAATTAACAACATTAGGTTGATGGAGGTATTATTTTTCTGTATCCCTAGCAATACAATTTGAGTATATGGCTATAAATACTACAGAAACTGTGATTACTTTATTGAGATATATATGCGCAAGTAGTTCATAACCACACTTTCTTTAGTACAATAACTATCAATTTGGTGACGAAACATTTCTATTCCTCTTCCTCTTCTTCATGGAATATCTAGATGACAGGAACACGTAGCCCAGATGATCAAGCAGGCCACCATATAATATGATCCGACTAGTTGAACTCCATGAGGAATACTTAATTTTAACTGAATGTGGAAATTTTATGACTTTTATGATTTAAAAGTCAATTTTTCAAATGATTTTCAGAATCGTTTCATTTGGTCGTTCAAATAGATGTTTTCGCATGTCGAATATATCTTGGACGATTATTCTATTTCCGTAGTTTTCATACACAAAATCAGCGATAACAAAAGGATTCACTACCACTAGACTAATGAATAATGAAATTACTTGGAAACAATCTTTTGTTTCCCTTGTGAATTTAGCGGTTGCTAAGCATTACCTTTTCTTTTGTTTACTTATTCTGTGTCAAAATCATTTGTACTTCAGTGACTTCCTCGTATCATGAAACCGCAGCAAATCAACTACTCATAAGCTCCCAGTTGTCTCAAGAGATACTCTTTCATCGAGAACCCTACACCTACAAACAACTATCTGAAAATTATATCATCATTACTACTTGAAAAAGACATGGCTAAAAATAACTCTGACTACAATTAATATTGCCGAAGGAAATATACTACTTTTATTAACCGGATCATGAGTATTCTATTGACCAAATAAAATGGCGCTTCTGATTGTTGAGAATAGGGCACAGGTGAATGGTGGGTGTAGATTTTAAGATGAAAAAACTATTCCTGTTTGAAAAGTGTTATTCGTTTCATTAG